TGGAAGAACCTCATTTTCATCTAAAAATTCGTATAGACTATCAGCTATTACTCCAGTCAACAGCTTCCACATAAGAGGCAAACATGAAATTGGCCTAAAGTTATCAACTACCTCCTGACATCTTTGACACCAAGAACCGTTCTACAATAAGTTAACCACTGTGGTACCTCACAATCACCACCTACAATCTCATTCAACTGCCTAGCAATCCTCTCATGACATGCTGTTAAATACTTTAGCCAATACCCCTGCACCCCATCCATCCCCGGTATTTTCCAATTTGCCATCCTCATACTCCTCTTTCTTATCATACTAACCTCTATCTTTACATCTTCTTGTCTAGTATACCCAAACCTCTTCTTTACCTCCTTTAGCCATTCTGCTCCCTTGTTGTGAACCACACCACTACCCCAAACACCTTTCCAAAACCTAACACTGTCAGCAGCATTTGGAACTATTTTCTCATTCCCTAATTCTCCGTTAATCTGTTGATAAAATCTCTTCTGATCCACTCGAAACAATCGGTTTTGCTGATACTGCTTAATCCACTGTTCATACCGTTTAACCTTCATCACTTTTGCATTTAGCCTCTGCTTCAACTCCTCCATCACAACTTTCACTCCCTTCTTAATACCAAGCCTCCTAACCAAATCCCTATATTTCCACTCTTTCTATAAAGCTCCGTTTAACTTCTGGTCTAATATACTTATATTTCTTCGTAGAGCAATAATTTGCCGCTCCAGCCTCCTCTTCCAACAAGGTTGTTCCCATTTCTTCCCACCATCACCATTCGGCACCAGCTGATTTTTTAAACCCAACTTTCTTGCAATAAAGACACTAACTGCATATACTAGCCTATTCGTCTCACTAATTGTATTTGTTCTGATATATGTCAATGCCTCATTTACTCTAGATGTTTCCTTGGACAACTTTTTCCTATCGACAGTTTTGAAAGCAAACTTATACTTTTCACTCCTTTCTCCCAGCTCATCATATACCTTCACTATTTCCTCACAAAGACTTTTCACCTCGCTAGGCCCATCAACCACATCAATGAACAACCCTTCTTCTTCCAGACTGACACTATCACTTTCCTCAACACTACCACTTTCCTCAATACTACCACTTTCCTCAACACTAACACTCCTGTCCACACTATTTCTAGATTCTTCACACACATCTTCTGTTACTTTCCTCCTAATCTTTTCAATTTCTACTTGACTTAACCAACCATTCTTCCTAATAGCTCTCACTTGATCACACAACCTTTGCTCAGATATTCCTAAATCACCTCCTCTGACCTTCCAACTCTCATACATCCTTTTTCTGTACCCCCTGACTGACCTGCCATTATTATCCACAGGATTAGATAAGTCATAACATTCCATTGCTGCTACATTCATGGCCTTAGTCCACCTGGTTCTCTGGAGACTTCTTGAAGAAGACATTTTCTCAGCAGCTCAATTACAACTGGACTTATTCTGCTGTACAATAAGACTCCAATTGGGCACCACACCAAATTTGATGTACTTTATGCCGTTATTCTCTACTCTAGTAGAAATCTTTACCACACACATGCATCACCATTCCATCTCCATTTTGACCGCATGGTTCATCATTATTATTATTATTATTATTATTATTATTATTATTATTATTATTATTATTATCATTGTTACGTCTTAAATTTAAAGCATTGTAAGAGACAACATTGAGTGAATAGATATGCTGAAAGAATGTCTACTATTCTGATGGCAAGTTAAATTTATACTTGTCTTGACAAGAGTCCTTGTTCAAGGAGCAGGGACAGTATCCATCTTCCCTGCAATCCTTCCTGTTGTCAAGTCATATTATCATTGCATTATTATAACATTATTTAATTAATTGTTTGTTTTTTGAAATAAAATTATTCATTTCACACTTCATAAAAGAATAGTATGCAAGATTAATAATATCTTCTCTTAGCTGGAAACCTCCACGAAGTGTTGCAGTTGATTAATAACTTCATTTGCTTGCTTTTCCAGAGCTGCAGATCTGAGCATGCGTGACCACACCCAAATTTTGGAGCACATGCTTCTTTAAATAACAAAATGGCGGCATGCAGCTAAGATGGGCCTGATCCAGCAGTGACAGTACAACTTCTTTCTTTGTTGGAGAATTGTCATAAAGAATAGGGACCTGCGCATGCATTATTGGAGTAGAATGGTGTAAGAGTTAGCCTTCTATCGCCAAGCAAAGTTGAGATACAGAGCAACAACTGGATTGACAGGACTTGATTATGATGATGATGAAGTGGCTGAACAAAACGGCCGTTTTCTGGATTTTTGACATTCCTCTCAGACAAGGTTTAGAGCCACACTAGTGGTACCAATGGAGTCCTCTGGTCAAGATAAGGTCCTCTATAAAGTCTGGTAAGTATAGGAGCTCGTTTTCCTGGTATAGACCCTATAGGGCACTAAGTTCTGCAAGTAATAATTGCATTACCGTATCCACCCACACTCATGATTTGGACGGCAAGATACCGTGTAGCTACATTGGAAAACAAGGAACAAGAGGCCTTCGTGGCTTCCAGAGCTTGTTTGAGTGGCAATAAATGCCAGTAACAGTGAAGAATAGAGCCCAGAATGTCTCCTGATAAGAAGCTTCATTGCACTTGAAGCCACTTGTCCACTAAGGCTGCTTTTGGCCTATCCATTCGTTTTGCCTGGTTTTGCCGTCCAGCAGGAGAATTTTGAAATTTTTTCGTTAAAGAATGCGGATAGGATACGGAAGATTACGAATAGTATCTCATATACGGTATCTATAATTGCTTTTAGAAGTTAGCGCCCTATAGGGTCTATAGCAAGGCTGCAAAAGTCATGGCAGCCATTTTGAAGTGGGATGAATCCTGCTTAGTAACGCTACCGCATTTCTAATAAATAAGAATTTATAAAGAGCCAATTATTACTTATACACGTGTACATTAATTATTATCAAACTATTATGATTAAGAGACCTAAACAGATTTATATATTGGTCATTGTAACTGTTTCTAATTTCATGTTTTAACTATTATTATTACTATTAATCTTTATTTTTTAATAACTTAGAATCTACATGTACCTTATTTTTGTGGTAGAAAATTTTAGCGAATCTTGCATTTCTAAAAATTTGTGAAATAAATTTTTGCAAATAGCTTGCTGACTGCACCTTGTGGCAATGGAGATTCAGAATTTTGCAGTGGATGAATTTCACCATGGAGTAAGAAACTGCAAAAGTTGTGAAAATATTTCATCGCAAAAATAAACCGGTATACGTATTTTACTGAAAAAAGAGATAATGCATGATACATAATACACATGCAATTTGCATATAATTGAATTTTATATTATTTCTTCTCCTTTTTTGTCTCTTTATAGTCCTATGGTGGTTCCTGTGCATGTACGCTCACGGTAACGATGCCTATCCACTAGACACTAACTGCACTGTAGCAAATGCTAGCAACTTTGATATCTGTTGACTAATAATGATGATGATCATGATAAAGCTGTAGTTTAACTTCTGCCTTCAGTATTAAAATAATGAACTACTGACTACATTAAGTGACATTATTTTGCTGTATATAGGGTTGGTGAAGGATAATGATATTCATAATAGCAAACTGGCTGGAGTATGAATCAAGAACTTTGCTTCTCCTATCTTTACTTGCATCGTATTGCATCACAGAAAAGACGTTGGATTCAAGATAAACAAACAAGAGAGGGGAAAAGGAGAAAGTTAACATTACAATTTTTATTCATTTTTATGGTGTACTTAACACACTGACAGAATTGGTAGCATTCAAATTATGAACGAGCAATTAGGCACTTATTAATGTGCCATGGGATCATGTGGTGGAGTATAATGTTCACGATAGGGTAAGAAGAAGTACAGTACATGTATATATAGTTTTGTATAATTGTACTTAAATGTACATGTACACGTTTCAATGCACATACGTGATGGATACATTTATGCATACATGCTGATGCTCCAAGTAGCGACAATTTTGAGTGACTTTATGAATTTTTAAAAATCTGAATTTGATTGGAATTAGTTCAAACTCTCTACACAGCTTAAGTGTATCAGAAATTGGAGAATTTTCAATCTTTATGAAAATTCACCAAAGTCTTTGTACACCATAATATAGAGATTTTGGCCTAATTTTTCAGCAACTTAAAAAGATTTGTAACTAATCCAGACTTGATCGGAATCACTTCAAGATTTCTACATGTATACCAATGTGGAAATACCTCTTTCTTTTAAACCCCTGTACAGTACACGGTCTTTGGCTCAGTTTTTGAGAAACTTTTAAATTTTGTAAAAAATTCAAACTTGATGGGAATCAGTTTAAATTTGTAGCACATGTAAATGTATCGGCAAAAATTGTCAAAATGGGAAATTTTCTTTTTCTTCATTTTTGCCAAAGTCTGTGTATACTAAACTACAAGAATGACCTTGGACCAACTTGTGAGCAAATTAAAAAATTTGTAAAAATTAAAAAATTATCGGAATTGTTGAAACATTCTACACAACATAAATACAGACGACAGGTATCAGAAAAATTATAAAAGCAAGGTTTAATTTTTTGACAAAGTTTGGGCAAAATCCCTGTGCTATGGTACATGAAGCGTGGGCCGATTTTGGAGTACCTTAA